CTGATGCTCCCTCAAAATAAATGCCCCATTGACTCAAGTCAAATGTGGGAAAGACTTGAAACATTCCAGTGTATTTTGTTGCTCAGGATTCATTTTCTTATTGTAGACTAAAAGGGGGGGGGGAATTTCCAATTTTTTAAATTCTTAAATGACTTCTTGATTCGTAATTAGTCCAAAGAAATAAGATACCTTTTCTTCAACTAGAGAAGCAGCTATTGTTAATAAAAGGTGGAGTTTGGCAACAACAGCCCATGAGGAATATAGTGAGAAAACAACATTTTAACATTTATCATGTATTTTACATGTGTCCTGACATTTAACATGCAGTAATTCAATTTTTGTTGATCTGTACTTGAGGCAAGTATTATTCACTCCTTGTAGAAATAGAGGAAAGGAAAGGCCATATGATTTGTATGTAATCACACAGGAATTAATGGAACCTGAACTCGAATCTGGGCACTCTGGCTTAAACACGCCTGTTGTTTTCCCCGTTCTCTGCCGCCCTGGGTCCTGGTGCAGCTCTCCCTAAAACCTCATTCTTACCCTACTACCTCTTACTCCTGAAAGGAACCGCAGTTGATGCTTTAACACTTATACTTACCTTGCAAATGTGGTTGTATTTGAATTATTAAAGGATGAATCCAGGTTGGCCACCTGCTAGTTAGCTGTCCCTCACCCATTAAGGTTTGGCAACAGTAACACTAACAGCCAATACATATTAATCACTTTTAGATATCAGGCACTGTGCCGAGCACTTCACATACAATTCTGTTATGAGTTGAATTACGTCCCCCTAAAAAAAGACATGAAGACCTTAGTATCTCAGAATATGGCTTGGAAATGGGGTCTTACAGAGGTAATCAAGTTAAAATGGGATGATCAAGATGAGCCCTAATCCAATATGACGGGTGTCCTTATAAAAATGAGAAATTTGGACACAGAGACAGATACACACAGAGGGAAGATGACATGAAGACACACAGGGAGAAGGCCATGTGAAGACAGAGGATTAGAGTGATGCATTTACAAGCTGAGCCATGCCAGAGATTGCCAGCAAACCACCAGAAGTGAGGAAGAAACCAGAAAAGGTTCCTCTACAGGTTTCAGGGTGAGTATGGTCCTGGCAACACTTTGATTTCAGACTTGTAGCTTCCAGAACTGTGAGATAATAAGTTTCTGTTGTGTTAGGTCACCAGTGGGTGGTACTTTGTTACAGCACCCTGATCATTTTCACTAAATGATACGTTCGTGAGGCTCCATGACCAGACATGACTTACATATAAATTTTGAAATAAATATTACAATAACTATGTTGTCTCCAACATATAGTCAGTAGTTATAATCCTACAAGTATGCTATCTTTGCAATTTAATGCATTCAGATTAAAACTCTCACTAGGGATATCAACTAAAGCCTACACTGAATCCACTTACGGGACCCAGGCCGCTTTGAGCTCATCTCATTAATGGTGAGTGCTACGGCCTGAATGTTTGTGTTTCACCTTCCCCAAAATTCACATGTTGAAACCTAATCCCCAGTGTAATGGTATCCAGAGGTGGGGCTTTGGGAGGTAAGTAGGTCATCAGGACAGAGCCCTCATGAATGGGATGAGTGCCTTTATAAAAAGAAGCCCAAGAAAGATCCCTTGACCCTTTTATCATGAAGGGACACAATGAAAAGACATCTGGCCATCTATGAACCAAGAAGTGGGCCCTCGCCAGACACTGAATTTACTGATGGCTTGATCTTGGACTCTTAGCCGCCGGAACAGTGAGAAATAAATTTTGTTGGTATAAATGTTGTTTGTATATAAATGATGTTCATAAGTCATCCAGTTTATGATATTTTGTTACAGCAGCCTGAACAAACTAATACAGTGAGGTAAGCACATCAAAAGTCTGTTTGCACAAGGGGCTAAGGAAGAACTCATTCTGGAGAAAGGGGAAGCCAAGCACAATAGGAATTACCCAGGAACAAGGCTGTTGGCCTGTGGATTTCATCTTCATCTCAGTAACTTCTTGGAATCATCCCCAAAGGGAAGGACTGTCACCAAGAACACTAAAAGCATCACTGTGCTCATACTATAAATAAATTTTCAAAAAGACAAAAGGGCTTTCTTCTGTACTACGTGGGCGAGTATATGGCAGGAAGGAGTCACAGTGAACAGCCTGATGGTTGAAATGGAGGTATAAATAAGTGTGCCTGTCTTTGTTGTTAGTTTTTTGTGGGTTTTGTTGTGGTTGTTGTTATTGTTTTTGTTTTTTTAGTTGGAGTCTCACTCTGTTGCCCAGGCTGGAGTGCAGTGGCATGCTCATGGCCACCACAGTCTCGACTTGCTGTACTCAGACAATCCTTCCACCTAAGCCTTCCAAGTTGCTGGAACTACAGGCACGTGCCACCATGCCTGGCTAATTTTTTGATTTACTGTAGAGACAAGGTCTCACCAAGTTGCCCAGGCTGGTCTTGAACCTCTGGACTCAGGCAATCCTCTCGCCTCAGTCTCCCAAAGTGCTGGGATTACAGGCGTGAGCCACCATGCCTGGCCGAAGTGTGCCTGTACATGGGATTCAGACTTTTGAAAGTATGTGTATACTCATCAACAAGAGTACCTGCATAATCATTGTTTGTAAACCTAACCCTGAGTTGTACTCCATATCTTTATAATTAAGAATAAATAAAATTTTTAAAAGAGAGTATGTGCATAAAGCCCTATGCAAGTCCTAGAATAACTTGGGGTGGAGAGAAGAATATCAAAAGGGCTGGTGTCCTACAGATAGGGCACAAAAGTCATGAAAAAATGGCTTTAATTATATGTATTTGAAAGGTAACTATTATAATCAAGAAAAAAATATGCTTCTAAATCATTATTTTTATTATCTAGCAGACCTACTGTCCTGCCACTCATATTCCATATACCACTACTCTGTGAAAATTGCTATCAACTAAATCAGACCCTTAAAAAGAGCCCAGATAGCCCCCACTACAGTGACTCAAATAGCCACCCTCACAATCACATTTTACAAGTGAGCCCACATCTGGAGTTTGATCATACCAGTTGATTGACAGATTGACAGCACTGTCTACTAGTGCAAAAGATTATTACATAAGAATACTTCTGCCTCTGGTAGGAAGGAAAGCTAAATTCCTAGCTAAGATGTCATCTGGATTTATAACACAATACATCTTTCTCTAGATATTAGTTTTAAAATACTAGACATTTGATGGCAGCAGGTGCAGTTCATGGAAAAAATGATGACTTCAACAAAACATAGCTTAAAGATCTGCTGGGAATTTAGTCCAGTTTCAGAACACAGGGTAGAAGTGCCCTCTTCTTTTCTGTGATTTTGACTCACTTCCCTTATTTAATTTCCCCTTCAGTCCTAGGGAAGGCCTATAAAACTGAAAGAAAAAAGCTGCTAAACTACTATGAAGATATGATTCTGTCACTTTCCACTGAAGTTCTCTTTCCACTGCTGAAGGTGGAAAGAATAGCCTTTGTACAGTGTCAAGGATTTCTGCTGGTATTCTAAATTTCACCCAAACCTTAATGCCACACAATTAGCAGAATGATAATATATAATAAAACCCTTAAAAATCCCAAATTTGTTTTCCTTGTCCCTTCTAACAAAGTAAAATGAGATACAGGTTTCCTCTGATAGTCTCTGGATATCACTACAAGACTAGTGGTCCTCAAATGTCAGGATTTATGAATTACATGGAGTGCTTGCAAAAATATAGTTTTCTGGTCCCCACCCAAAACAATTTATGGTGTTGAGTGTAGGAATCTGTAGTTAATAAGTCCCCAAGTGATCTTGAAAACGATAGCTGCAGAACACACATTAGGAAATACTGCTATAAAATATGTATTTAAACTCAACCCACACTATATAGCTGTCAATTTAGCTATTCACCTACCCCAGTATCCAAACCACAACTAGACAGTGCTCCATGGTTCTCACTATAGTCACAGGAGCAGACAAGGGAACAAATGAAAAGAGATCAAGAAATCTTTCAAACTGTTCCTGGTAACCCAATGGGGGCCCCTCACTCAACCTTCTTCACCTCCTATTAAACAAAATAGATCAAGTACCTACAGGATACATAGATACGGGAAGTGCCCACACTTTTCTTGGGTTTGCTACTTTATGAAAGACACATTCTAACAAGGTCTCGACAATAAAAGATAGTAAAGAATCAAACTTGGACAGTCCAGCATTGATTTTCAACCACTGCAATCACCTCTCAACTCATTCCCTCCTAAAATCCAACCAGAAAAGGTGCTGAGGTGACTTTCAAGATTTTTCTAGGGTGACCAAATATCCTGGTTTGCCCAGGACTGAGAAAGTTTGTAGGATGCAGGGCTTTCAGGCATAAAACTAAGAAAATTGTGAGCAAAACTAGATCAAATGGTCCCCGACTCTCTCCAGTTCTAACTGTACCCCAAGGGTCAGTTCCTCAGAGCATGAGTGTTACAGCACCAGGGAGGCATCACATGGGGGCCTCAGACAGAGGAGGCCAGGTTGGCCAGGCAAAAGGCTCTCAGAGGAGAAAGAATTCTGGTCAGGTCACCACTCACTGAGAGGTTGTTCCTAAGTCAGGCCTAGGCCTACAAGTTCTGGGTTAAAGTAGAAAACTCAGAGCCCTTGAAGCCTACTTTTAAACCAAGAGCTCATAAAGATCAAGTCATATGAAGTTTTTGTTCTCATGTAAATCTCAGTCTCTAGAATCTCTTTTTTAAAAAATCTTTTTATTGTGGAAAATTTCAAACATATACAAAAGTGGCGAGAATGGCATAATGAACATCCACAAATCCATCATTCTGCTTTGCCATTAATTAACTTACAGCCAATCTCATTTCATAATACTGTCATCCTTCAGTATCTATGGGAGACTGGTTCCAGGACATCTCCCCCATACCAAAATCCAGGGATATTCAAGTCTCTGATAGAAAATGGCAGACTTCCAGCAAGATGGTGATGGGGCAGCCGGGTATATGAGACCCTCTACAAAGGAGAACACAGAGGGTCTCTGGCTCTCTCCCCGGGGGCTGGGGATCCCATCGTTGGCAACCTGCTCTTCACACAGAGCTCGGCCGTTGCCACTGCTGGGACATCGCAGCAGTCTGGACAGCCACTGCAGCCACAGACAGCTGCCGGCACCACTGCGGCCTCCGTGGCAGCCATAGCGCATCGCACCACCCGTGTCTGAAGCGATCCACAACTTCAGTCCTTGAAGCCCCTGCAGGCAAGATCTGCTGGGATCGCTGCCACCTCTGCTGCCACCTTGACGGCGTGCCGGCCGTGGGTCTCCTCCCGTGTGCCCTGAGGCAGGCTCGCATCTCTGTCCTTTGCCTGACTTCTGTCCGGCTCCACCCCCTCTGGGGCGAGCAGCTGAGATAGCAACACCTGCTGGCAATTCAAGGTAACAACACCAAAATGGGAAAAAGAAGCTTAAAAAACAGACACAGGCCAGATTTGAGTGGTGAACAGAAGGTGATCTGAACTGTCCTTCATAGCAGGCCAGGGGCAACTGACCTTAACTGTGAACTAATTTACCAGCTTGAGAAGACAGCTAGAAATCAGAGGTGAAAGGACATTGGACTTAAACGAAAAGTCTAAGTGTGTGCTCGATTGGTTGTGTTAGTTTAATGACTTAATTCTATTCCTACTGTTTTCTTCCTTTTTTCCTCTTCCTTTCTTTCTCTTTTCTCCTCTCTGTAAACCATATCTTTGTATAGAGGAACAGCACACCAATAAGGTGGTTGGTTAGCTTGTATGTTAGCATCATTGTATGTTTTAATTTTTTTTTGTATGGCAGTTAGTTAGTCTGTAGCTGTGGTCTATTGTTTTTATCTGTTTCAGTTTAGGTCTCTCTCTCCATTTGTTGGTACACTCATCTGTTTCCCACCTTACTCCTCTCTCTCTCTCTCCATCCCCTTTTCCCCCCACTGTCTGTTCCCTTCTCTTCCCTCTGCTAACCTCATTTTATTTCAGGGAGTAAACCTACAGCCCCACTGCATGGACAGATTCCAAGGCAGTGGGAAGTGGGTTTCAGATTATCCATACACCTATCAGCAGATACCAGGACCTGCAGATAGATTTTGAATCACAACTCCCCCCTTAAGTAAATCTCAAAACTGCAAAAAGGACCACCCTCAACCTAGAGTGCAAATCCAAAATTGAACAAAGTAAGAGGGCATACATAAAGAAGAATAGGAGATTGAACAAACAGAAGTAAAAGCAATCCCTCTACCCCTGAAAAACAGAATTAAAGGAGATGGTGATATGGAGGGAAGGAAAAAGTAGGAAGGGAAAAAAATGCACAAATGAAGAAAAACCAAAAGAAGAATATAGGTCTCACACAGACCCCTGGGAGATCAGGCACTGAGATAACAGATTGTGGAACACAAACAATGAAGAGCCCCCAGAATGACTGGTCACATGCAACAAACCCAGACATCAAAACATTAATAGAGAGAATTTAAAAAAATTAAGGAGACACAAGAGGAAAATAGGAAGGAGCTGATGTCAGAAATAACAGCAGTAAAGAATACTGTGATGAAAATAAATAACAAACTAATAAGCATGGAAAGTAAAATTAGCCAAGCAGAAGAAAGAATCTCAGAGCTTGAAGACCAAAACACAAAACTAACCCAAACTGTCAAAAGCATAGAAAAGAAGCTCAAAAAGACAGAACAAAACCTTCAAGGGATGAATGATCACTTCAAGAGACCGAACCTAAGAGTAATTGACCTTCCTGAGGCAGAGAGAGAAACAGGTCACACTGGAACAAACATTTCATGAAATCATTCAAGAAAACTTCCCTCATCTCATCAAGGATGAAAAAATTCAAACCCAAGAGATTCAGAGAACCTCTGAAAGACAACAAATGAGAAGACCAACTCCCAGACATATAATAATTTGCCTAAATAAAGTAGGTATAAAAGAAAAAATCCTAAAGGCTACAAGAGAAAAAGGTCCGACTACCTACCAGGGAAGACCAATTAGAATAGCAGCAGATTTATCTACAGAAACCCTCCAGGCTAGAAGAGCTTGGAGCCTTATCTTCAAAGTTCTAAAAGATAAACAATTTCAACTGAGAATAACCTATCCAGCCAAGCTAAGCTTCATCAGTGAGGGAGAATTGAAATCTTTCCCAGATATCCCATCCCTAAGAACCTATGCTGCCACCAGACCACCTCTATAAGAAACACTTAAGAGAGCATTGAACACAGGAGAAAAGGAAAAAAGAACAACAACGTTCTTCACAAGAGTACAGGCAAAAGATTAAAAACACACATGATCCAACCCTAAAACCAAAAGAAAGATAACACACAAACAGGAAGAACAACTCTGTAAGAACATTATGATAGGGATCAACACTCACATTTCAATAATTAGTTTGAATATTAACAGGCTAAATGCACCACTGAAAAGACATAGAATGGCAAAATGGATAAAATATCACCATGCAACAATCTATTGCCTTCAAGAGACTCACCTCACTAGAAAGGACACTCACAGACTCAAAGTAAAAGGATAGGAAACAAATTTTTAGGCGAATGGAACACAAAAGGAGGAGTCGCGATCTTAATCTCAGACAAAATACCCTTTAAGCTATCAAAAATTTAAAAAGACACAGAAGGCCACTACATAATGATAAAAGGTACAATCCATCAACAAGAAATATCCATCCTAAACATATATGCACCAAACATAGGAGCACCAACTTTCATAAAGCAGTTCCTAGGTAAACTAAAAAAAGATATCGACTTCAATACCATCATAACTCGGGACTTTAATACCCCACACACAACCCTAGACAGATCATCAGGACAAAAATCAGCAACAAGATCCAAAACCTCAATGTGACTCTTGATCAAATGGACTTAATTGATACCTACAGAACCTTCCATCCAAAGACCACAGAATACACATTCTACTCATCACCATATAGAACGTACTCTAAGATCGACCACATACTTGGCCATAAATCAAGCATAAGCAAATTTAAAAGGACTGAAATTTTACCATGCACCTTCTCGGACTACAGTGGAATAAAAATAAACATTAACACCAACAAGGTCCCCCCAAAACCCACAAAGACATGGACACTAAACAGCATGATGCTAAACAACTCCTGGGTCAATGATGAAATCAAAATAGAGATTAAAAGATACCTGGAAACAAATGAAGATGAAGAAATATCTTACCAAAATCTCTGGGACACCATGAAAGCTGTTGTAAGAGGCGAATTTATATCCCTACAAACGCACATGAAGAAAATGGAAGGATCACAAATTAACAGACTAAGAAGCCACCTAAGGAAGCTGGAAAAGCAAGACCACAAAAACCCTAATTTCAGCAGAAGAATCCAGATCACCAAAATAAAAGCCCAAATCCAGGACATAGAAGACAAAAAGATGATATTAAAAGTCAATGAAACAAAAAGCTGATTCTTCAAAAGGATAAACAAGAGTGATGGTCCCCTAGCTAGACTGACCAAGAAAAAGAGAGAAAAAGCCCAAGTAAACACAATCAGAAACACAAAAGATGAAGTCACATCTGATCCTGAAGAAATACAAAAGATCATTAGAGACTACTATATACACTTGTAAGGAAACAAACTTGAAAACCTTTCGGAAATAGAGAACTTTCTGTCATCACAAAACTTGCCTAGGTTGAAACAAGAAGAAATTGAGACCCTAAATAGACCAATAACAATCAAGGAAATTGACTGCATAATAAGAAAAGTACCTACAAAAAAAAGTCCTGGACCAGATGGCTTTCCAGCAGAATTCTACAAGACATTTAAGGAGGAGTTTATACCAATCCTACTGAAGGTATTCCAGGCGATTGAGAAAGATGGAACTCTCCCCAAATCATCTGACAAAGCTAACATCACACTGATACCCAAGCCAGGTAAAGACCCAACAAAGAAAGAGAACTATAGGCCAATATCTTTGATGAACAGAGATGCTAAAATTCTCAACAAGATCCTAGTGAACCGAATTCAACAACACATCTAAAAAATCATCCACCATGACCAAGTAGGCTTCATCCCTGGGATGCAAGGCTGGTTCAACATTCATAAAACCATAAATGTAATTAAATACATCAACATATGTCAAAACAAAACCACATGATTATATCATTAGATGCAGAAAACGCTTTTGATAAAATCCAGCATCCCTTCGTGATAAAAACCCTCGAGCATCTATGCATACAGGGAACATACCTCAAAATAGTAAAAGCCATATACGAGAAACCTACAGCCAGCATACTCCTAAATGGACAAAAACTGGAACCATTTCCCCTGAAAACTGGAACAAGACAAGAATGCCCACTCTCACCCCTCCTGTTCAATATAGTATTGGAAGGCCTGGCTAAAGCAATCAGAGAAGAGAAGGCAATCAGGGGTATTCAAATAGGAAAAGAGGAAGTCAAGCTAACTCTCTTTGCAGATGACATGATCATGTACCTTGAAAACCCAAGAGAATCTGTCAAAAACCTCCTCACACTGATAAAGAACTTTGGCAAAGTCTCAGGATATAAAATAAATGTGCAAGAGACATCGTATTTCTTTACACCAATAATAAACAAACAGAAACTCAAATAAAAACCACAATTCCATTCACAATAGCCACAAAAAAAATGAAATAC